TCCCCCTCCCCCTCCCCCTTTTCCTCCCGCCGCCTTTTATGCTCTCTCATCAGCCCCACGAAGCCCAAGAATGGTTTTGGAAAACAAGCCTGGATTAGGGCTGCATTTGTCAAGTCCGTGAAGGCCTGGATCCCGACAGGTCAGACAGACCCAGGAAGGCAACCATAAGGCTGAGAAGATGCCTGCCTGGGTCTGTCTGACTTGCCGGGATCTAGACCTCAGACTCCGTCCTCTCTCTCTCTTCATCGCAGACATGTCCCATCTGACATGTCCAGTCTGACATCGACACCTCCGTCTGGCCTGTATTACAACTGGAGTGTGGGGACCACTTAACGTGGCTGAACACCATGTTGTGCCTTGTGGTGGGAGAGGGGGGCTGCATCGGCAAGCAGAGGAGAGGGATGGGGTAGAAGAAGGAGGGGGAGGAGGTATGCTACACTATAAGGGTTTATGGATTGCACCTATCTATCTTCCTAGTCTACCCCAACTTGCGTATCCCCCTCAGGGTTGAACCTAACCCCCTGCATGGATGGTATAGGGGGCACAGTAACCCCTACCTTAGTCTACCCCAACTTGCCTATCCCCTCAGGGTTTAACCAATAACCCCTAGCATGGATGGCAGGGGGCACAATTACCCCTACCTACCAACACCTGCTTAAGGGGGGTGGACTGACACTATCGTAGCTGGCGAACCCGAAGTGTGCCTCAGGGGCAGTGGGGAGCCGAATGGATGAGGTTGGGGATCGAGCCCACGACCTCCTGATTACCACTTTCGTGCTCAACCAACTGAGAGCTAGGCTGCTGGCCCTACTAAGATCCAATTTGATTTTTAGTTCATGGGTTGGAACCCTGCTGGCCGGGCTCCTATCTTCACTGCCGATGTGTCTGACTCAGCCTCAAACTGAAGGGCGTCGGTCACGAATCGAATCCATGTCAGAGGGTGCGGCCTCTCCACAACCAGAATTCTGGAAGTGCCGACTGGAGCTTGAAACTCCGCTGAGAGGTCGAAATGTTCGTGGCAGATATTGCTGCAACCTTATCAAGGTTGTTTCCGACGTATCCGTCTTAATATACTGCGATGAACTGATCCGTGGTAATCTTGGTAATATAATATGACTCCGAGCTTGGGTAAAATAGAATCATGAAAATGAAAAAAGGAAAATAAAATAATCAATAATATGTAAGAAAAAACGAATAATAAATAAATAAATAATAATAAATAAATAAATAAATAAATAAATAAATAATAGATAAATAAAAATTTGACAGAAAAGTAACGAAAAATATCCGCTACACCTCGAAAAGGAATGTCATTACGGCCAGGGTTACCTGACCGAACGTTCGGGGGCCCCCGGGCTGGCCCCCGAACGTTCGGGCGTTCGGGGTCCCGTTCGGGGGCCAATACCTCCAGGTTTGGCCCCCGCCAAAAAAAAATTCGGGGCCTAAAATAAGTTTTTTTT